CCGCGTGGAGCCCCTTGTAGTCCACCCCCCACTAAGAGAATAATAAAAAAAAAAAAAAAAAAAATATGACTTCTGTGATATTCTGTTGCCAATTCAAGAATATGCGAGGTCAGGAATTATGTTACGAATATGTCTTGTAGGCAACAGTTCCGAAAAAATATATTTCCTCTAGATAGCAGCACATCTCTGTAAACACTGTTATTGTATCAAGGTCAGTGTGTTATGTTTTACCAAAACCTTTTATTCCGAGTTACTGAGGTTGCGTACTTTTGACGAAGTTTGTATTTAACAATTTATTGTTAAAATGAAAACGGTCATTTTGCTATTAACAATAATAATGACTTTTGTTACAGAGGCTTGGGAAATGGAAATATACTACATTCGAAAGTACCAGCCTATGATTCGCGGTTGGCTCGGCACGAAGGCCATTGTTTCAGTATCTTCCCCTGAACTCATCGAGGTAGGTCCAGTACCTTAAGCCAGTGCAGTCGCCTTAACAAAGGGCTGGAGAGACAGAACACATTTGCACAATCTGTTTTAAGTTGCGACCACTTCATTCCACAAACTTTACAAGTGATCACGTACCAACCGCGCTACCATGCAACGCTGTATGGTCTACCCCTACAGTATCCACTCCAGACAGGGAAAGCGCCGCAAGATACATAACAGACCACAACCTGGATCAATGCTAACCGTTGTTTTTTCTGCGTCTTCGTGTGATAAGTTTTGTAACCGTGAGATTTCATAATCACGGTGCAACACTTGGCACCCACACAGAAAAATCAACCCCTCCTCTCCCTGAAGAGTAGGTTCCATTTCCAAACACACAACTCTTCTCAGAACGAACTAAATTTTGATAATGGATCCCGACGGGGCCCGAAACGGTTGACTCTGCTGGCGAGGGTCAGCAGCAATTTACTGCTATGCTATACTACGAGATTTATAACGCGCAAATTCGGGTTGTCATAGCAATGAACTGTCGCTCGCTGACATAGTGTATGAATGTACGTCACGTCATGAACACGCCAGCAGACATTTCACTGTACTGTGTCTGATCTGTGTGAGCATGTGACGTGTAGTGTACTAGATAAATGAGCTGCTTTAGGATTGACTATTTGTGCGTGTTATTCGTGGGAGATGGGCCTGAACGTCGGTCTGACCGTATCATTGCATAACACGTAGGACTGGAAAAGAAAAGCAAGGAAGTTAATGCGTATATAAGAAACGAGGGTGTTTCCCGTTGTATTCTCGGTGGGTGTTACTTCAGTCACGTGAGGTACGCAGGCTAAAAAATAGGGAGGGGGGACATCGACAGACAGACAGACAGACAGCAATGTGATCTCATTACTTACTTACATATTTACTTATGGAGCTGAACCCTTCTTGAGAAGCCAAATCTGCAGCTACTCAAGAATTTCCCAGCATTTTATGGAACCCGAAGGTTCATTACCGTGTTCAAAAGAGCCCTCCACTGGTCCATATCCTGGGCCAGATCAATCCAAGCCATACAATCCCATCCTATCTCTCTAAAATCCATTTTAATATTGTCCACCCACCTACACCTTGGTCTTCGCAGTGGTCTCTTTCCTTCTGGATTTCCCACCAATAATCTATATACATTCTTCTTCGCCCCCATTCGTGCTACATGCCATGTCCATCTCATACGCTTCAAAAATTATAGAGGGGGAATTCACAGAGAGATGAACAGACAGACAGTAAGGTGATTTCACAAGCCAATTTTTATTTCTTCAAAAGAAAGAAGGTAGACTTCTACAGTTTCTGCTATATTTAGGGGCTTCGCACATTCGGAATATAATCAATATAATAACATTCTAAACGAAAAACAAGGTTCCACCAAGAAGTTTTTCTAAATGAACACATATTTTATGAGAACAGGTACAGCTTGTTAGCGGTTCCACATCCTGGCTTAATTAGTGTTACGTGCATCACTCTACAGGCGCACTGTGTTACCGTAATATCATGCAGCATAATTATAGTTTTTATTGCATGAGGAAGAAATACAACCGGACAAGTCCTTATTTGCTTTTCATCAACAGGTGATACTCAACAACTACAGGACAATAGACAAGCCATTCATATACAGGTTTCTGCACCCCTGGCTGGGAACAGGCCTGCTTACAGCAACAGGTAAAGTCTCCTATTTCTGTCAAGCTTGACATCATTACGTTGTGCTGTAATTCGATTTCTAGTAACATTAGCGTGTAACACTCGTTGAGAAGTCAATGGGCACCCCTTGCTCTCTCTGTCTCTCTCATATTCCTTTCCAACCCTAAACGTTACTGAATGATACGTCGAGGCCGAAGTTTAACGCCAACTCCCACTAATAACACGCATAAATAGTCAATCGTGAGACCGTCTTATTTGTGTATTACACTTCATATATTCACATCAAAATATTATGAATACTCACACAAGAGACGATACGCTTAAAGGACTGCTCGTTCTATCATGACCTACCATGTGACGAGGGCTCGTGCAGCTTGTTCGTTGTCACGGAAACCAAAATTGCACATTTTCTGTGTTTAAATCTCACCTTTTCATCAAATACAGAGCACTCGTGAACCTGAGACTCATTGAGACCGACAGGTTCCAACCCTGGGACCGGTATCAAGTGAAGTACAGACTCACTGAGACCGACAGGTTCCGACCCTGGGACCGGTATCAAGTGAAGTACAGACTCACTGAGACCGACAGGTTCCGACCCTGGGACCGGTATCAAGTGAAGTACAGACTCACTGAGACCGACAGGTTCCGACCCTGGGACCGGTATCAAGTGAAGTACAGACTCACTGAGACCGACAGGTTCCGACCCTGGGACCGGTATCAAGTGAAGTACAGACTCACTGAGACCGACAGGTTCCGACCCTGGGACCGGTATCAAGTGAAGTACAGACTCACTGAGACCGACAGGTTCCGACCCTGGGACCGGTATCAAGTGAAGTACAGACTCACTGAGACCGACAGGTTCCGACCCTGGGACCGGTATCAAGTGAAGTACAGACTCACTGAGACCGACAGGTTCCGACCCTGGGACCGGTATCAAGTGAAGTACAGACTCACTGAGACCGACAGGTTCCGACCCTGGGACCGGTATCAAGTGAAGTACAGACTCACTGAGACCGACAGGTTCCGACCCTGGGACCGGTATCAAGTGAAGTACAGACTCACTGAGACCGACAGGTTCCAACCCTGGGACCGGTATCAAGTGAAGCACAGACTCACTGAGACCGACAGGTTCCAATCCTGGGACCAGTATCAAGTGAAGTACAGACTCATTGAGACCGACAGGCTCCAATCCTGGGACCGGTATCAAGTGAAGCACACTCATTGAGACCGACAGGTTCCAACCCTGGGGCCGGTATCAAGTGAAGTGCAGACTCACTGAGACCGACAGGCTCCAATCCTGGGACCGGTATCAAGTGAAGCACACTCATTGAGACCGACAGGTTCCAACCCTGGGACCGGTATCAAGTGAAGCACAGACTCACTGAGACCGACAGGTTCCAATCCTGGGACCAGTATCAAGTGAAGTGCAGACTCATTGAGACCGACAGGTTCCAACCCTGGGACCAGTATCAAGTGAAGTGCAGACTCATTGAGACCGACAGGTTCCAACCCTTGGACTGATATAATATGAAGCACAGGAATTTGAATTGGTTCATCCTGGCCCGTCACCCTAGCAATATTACAAGAGGTTAATCAACTTCGTCCAGTGTGACCGATATATTCTTGTGAAGATGGTCTTTAAGACCGAAACATGTCACGGATGAAAGATTAAAAAGGAAATACAGAGAAAAAAACATTTTATCAGTCACACTGGACGGAGGTGACTAACCCGCTATAAGAAGTACACAAACTATTGCCAGTTTTACCTAATAAAAACGAACCTTCATATACATATACCCGGTATATCACAATCGGTACAGCGACGGGATACACGACCACAGGATCGGGGCTTTATTCCTGATATAGTCTTCTCTTCTCCACAAGGTCCACTCAGCCTCTTATCCAAATGATACTGTGGGCTCTTTCCCTATGGGATAAAGCGGCCGGGTCTTGATAGTGACCTCTCACCACCAAATAGTGCCGAAGTTAGAAATGTGTGGAGGTATACCTCCACTCCCTTACGTCTTCAAGACGTGGTGCTTAGTTAATTAAGCATAGCTACAACTTTAGAAAAGCTACATACAAATTAAATTAAAATATAATATGCATACTTGTCTTGTATAATTAACGTTAAATCAGCTCAGACATTTTTAGATGTATGTGTATGTATCTTCATACAGAGTGTTTCACGACTTTAGGGCATAACTGCAGGAGGTGATTTCCTAGGTCCTTGTGATCAAAAAAGTTCATATAAACATGTGTCCGATTTTGGACAGTTACGGAGTTATGGCCGTTTTAAACTCAGAACAGAAGGTAACGATTACTGACAATAAACGGAACAAAATAATAAACCAGCACAGTACATGATACATTTAAAGTATGAATGTAAAGTTAACTTCGTGAAATTACCTTTAATTTGAGTTGATTGGTGCTTAAAGCTGATTTTCGAAAATGCCACCGCCGGCCGCAACACAGGCTGCCGCTCGGTTGTGAACCGCGCCGGACATACCAACCCACCACGCCTTAGGTACCTCTCAAGTGTCGAGATAACGAGAACGCTCTGTCTGTAGCTGGCTAAAAATAGCGACCTGCCAGCTGACAGACGCGGTTCACACGAGGGCGTGTACGGGAATGAAAAAACTGTCATAACACCGTAACGGTCCAAAAGCGGACACATGTTTACGTGAACTTTTTTGATCACAAAGACCTAGGAAATCACCTCCTGCAGTTATGCCCTGAAGCCGTGTATACACTCATGATGATACTTCGTATTGACTTCGAGTCCAAAGTCATCATATTCAATTTGTTTTATTCATGAGTTGATGTTTTACAGTCTAATGCATCTCATTCCATGGTATGGGTCCATTCACCTATCACGGCCTCGGCCCATTTGACTGAATGCCATCTCTGTTTTATTGTTTATATCTGTGGTTCCCCTGTTCATAAAATATTGGGCTCCCTTTGTGTCAATAGCGAAGGTTTCTGAGCCCATCCTCCACGAATCTACAAAAATAATTTTTGTATGAGACGGCGGAAAGAAGTCCCGTGGATGCTGGGTACGGCGTATGGGGCTTCCCCTTTCTGTCTGCTGATATTTTCCTCGTCACTCCCCTCTGACCAATGACCACACTCCAAAGGGGCTGGTGAAGGTATCACGTGTTTAAGACACCCGATCATTCCGCTGAAGATAAAGGGCCCGACGGCTGCAAGGGTGTGGAAGGGTCAATCCACGGGTCTCCTTTGCTTGGTCTTACGCACTGAAAGTAATTTATATTCATGAAGATTTCTGCCCCATTACAATGTATGTTCGTAATTTAGTGTAGTGTGTATCAGCTTCTGTGCATTGTAGCTTGTAAACCCATTGCTATGCTACGACCATGAGATGGACGCATATACCAGGGCCGTTTCTGGGCAACGACTCAGTAAACATGTTCCCGTTGCTAAGCAGCAGTTGCTTAAATAATGCAACAGCTGGACTAAAATAGAAGAGCTGCTTTCTATCTGGTCCGCGCCGAGATATTACAAGTAATGGACAATGTCAGTTCAATTAGTTCTGTACGGAAGTCTGTGAAGACAGGACTTAACTCGGAGGACGAGAAATAGCCATTCTTGAAGCCGTTACCAGGAAACGTCTAATAACACGCTGAGAACACTAGACTGTGCTATGGTAATCTATAAAGTGTGGAAATAGCGATAGCGTCAGTTATTTGTAGTGGTCAGTAAATTTATTCACCAATCCAAACCCCGTCTATAGTCACTCATACACGTGACAGTATTAAAATTAAACCCTGGGGGGGGGACATCACAGCCCCTTGGGTGCCGTTGTTCTCATTTTGGAAAATGCTGATTGATACTGCAGTGGTACAGAATACCTGGATGTTCACATCCACGTCCCTTATACATATCCAGATTTTACATTTTACCTTGTTCACCTTACGTTGCCTAGTTACTGCCTTGGCAGCGAAGCCAGCTGAACTGCTAATAGAGTTGACAAGTGTTGGAAGGCGTCCCCAGGTCTGAGTAAGCTCTTTTCATATCCCCCCCCCCTTATTTTTAGTAAGTACGCGTAATGAGCCCCGATGAAACATGCGGACAGTTTCAAATACACAGAGACATGAGTTTTGTGCAGTATTCGCTTTTCCCAGGATTGAAGTGGCATGCCCGTCGGAAGATGCTGACACCTTCTTTCCACTTCAAGATCCTGGAGGACTTCCTGGATGTGTTCTCTGCGAACAGCGAGGTCCTAGTGCAGAAACTGCAGCAGGAAGTAGGTCGCGACTACTTCGATGTACACCCCTACATCAACAATTGCGCCTTGGATATTATCTGTGGTCAGTTGTGGTCAGTTGTGGTCAGCAGTTCGGAAAAACAAAAAGAGTCCAAACAAGACGGCGAGTCGATGTCCGCTGCGCCGTTGCCAATTGACCTTCTAAATGACCCAACATTTCCATTTGTATCTCGATTTGCCGAGGGCACGCGGTGTCGTAGTTGCTTGAAACATTATGCTACAAGCCGGAAGGGTGGAAGTTCAGTTCTCGATGAGGTCAGTGGATTTTTTCAATTTACCTAATCTCTCCTCTCAGCCTCTAACAGAAAATAAGTAACAGGAATCTTCCTGGGGGTAAAGAGCGGCCGGTGCGTAAGGCTGACAAACTCGCCGCCATCTGTGAGCCGATTATGTATATAATGTGGGAGCCTCGACGTCTCACAACGCTATGGACCTCCACGGGCTGTTACAGGGAGAGCTTTGCTTTTTTTTTTTAACTAGATTTGCCAACAGCGGCATTTAATTGTATGTATCCGCTGTTGTAATGCGCTTTCGCAATCTCGCTGTACGCATATGAAATCGCTTCCTCTGTCCGTCTGTACGCGTGTAACAATTAGAAAATCGCTGGAAGGTTTTCATTAGATATGTTTGAAAATGAAAGTAAATTCGTTGGCAGATTATAATTTTAGTTTTCTTTTAATTCGCTTAGTGGGGGGTGGAGTCCAACTGGGTCCAGTCCTCACGGCGGCCACTGATTGGCCTATTGTAGCCTGCCCCGTGTGATTATGTTGATGGAGAATTTGGTGGAATGAAGATTGGCAGGGGAAACCGAAGTACTCGGAGCAAACCCGCCCCAGCCCCACTTTTTCCACCACAAATCCCACTTCACCAGACCCGGGATCGAACACGGGCCGCCGCGGTGGGAAGCCAGGGACTAACCGCTTGAGCTATGGCGCGGCCTTAGTTTTAGTTAAAATCAGAGAATAACTAACATTTTACATGAACTTTAACATGCGTTTCTATGCGTGTCTAGGGCAAAACTGCTCCAATATATATCGAAGTTAAAATGTTTCTAACAAATATAACGGAAGAAAGTGAGCTACACACTTCATTATGCCAAACTCGCCTTTCTGAACTCTTTTATTCAAGAACCGATCTCTAAAATAATTGATGATCCCCAGAAACTTTTATTATCGATTATAATTAAGCTAAAATTCTTTCCATGTGAATTTCGGGGGTACATAATACATACAAATATGTATTTAATTATAATATAATTTATCCTGCTGCTCAAGTCTTTTACTCTCGATCATAATAAGTAAATATATTATAAAATAAACGCTTCAGTTTTTACCATTAAAAAAGCTCGCAATAAAAAAAACAGTGTTTTCTAAGTCCAGTCTGCATTGAAATTTCTCTGTAACAGAGACAGCCATGGGAACGCCAGTTCATGCCCAGGAAAACGAAAACCCGGAGTACGTGGACGCTATACACACGTGAGTAATAGCTGCTTGTACATATATGTATGGAGGGACACGCGGTAGCGTAGTTGGTTGAGGCACTGTGCCACAAGCCGGAAGGGCCCTGGTTGAAGTCCCGATGAGGTCATTCGATTTTTTTGAATTGACCTAATCCTTCCAGCCGCACTATGGCCCTGGGGTCGACCAAGCCTCTAACAGAAATCAGTACCAGGAATTAAGTAAATAATTTCCCTGGGGAGTAAAGCCCGGCCGGCGCGTAAGGCTCACAGCCTTACTGCCACCACTGGGCCGAGTGTCTAGAAAATGTGGGAGCCTCGACGTCTCACAACCCCATACGCCTTCACAGCCCGTTACAGGAATAGTTTCTTTTATGTATGGAGTTGGTGGACTTAGTTTGATGTATGGGGGGCAGAGGGCCGCTCGAGTCACCCCCAGTGGAAGGGGTGTGGCCAGCAGAAGTCACGCCCTCTTGTTGAAGAGGAGGTTCCACTTCTGCACATATACATGTCTAGGAGAGAGCAAAAACTTGATCCTGGATCCCGGCGGGACTTGAAGCCAAGAATTGGTGTGCTGGCGAGGGCCAACAGCAATTCAACCGACCGACTTGTGTATGTATGTAGATCAGTTAACCAACTCTCTGGTAGCAGAACCCAGAGGTTCAACGGCGCTAATACGAGAGCCCACCATTGGACACGATCCTGAGCCAGCTTCATCCATCTCAGCCACTGATAAAGGAGTTAATGTTACATATTTTCCGTCACGTTCCTGTTGCAGGCTTTCTCAGGTATTCATGGATCGCTTAACAAAGGCCTGGCTCTATCCCAACTTGACTTTTAGACTCAGCTCCTTAGGCAGAACCTATTACAAGTGCATTGGGGTGCTGCATAACTTCACTGACAGGGTACGTAACATTTGACGTCTTCATGGAGGTTGCTTGGAATATAGTACACCACATAACCTGCTACATAGGTACAAACGGTTTCCTTCTTCAGGATAATAAATTAAGACAGTGTAGTAGTCTGGTACGAGCTGATCACCCGCCCAAGGAGTCCTACCGAATGTGTAAGATCTAGAAAAATCGAAGTGAACAGAGAAGTTCACGGAGGTAGACCTAGGCCCACTGAGGCTGTAGTGCCAAGGAAACAAAAAGTTGTCTGGTAAGTGGGTATTAACGTTTCGGAGGAACACAATGCCTCCATCTTCAGGGATGATGAGTTATGAAAGAGTGTGGTATTGTTTTATGGAACCCGAAGGTTCATTAATGTGTTTAAAGAAGACCGTCACTGTTCCCTATCCTAAGCCACATGAATCCAGTCCGTATATTTTTTTTGTATACCTTATTTCCCTACGGCGTATTCCAGTTCTGTTCCCTCTCGTGGAGGGTTCCACAAGTGTCTTCTTACCCGAATGCTCCGCAACGAAAATGTTATAAACATTTCTTGTTTCGCGAACATCCTCTATGTCCTGTCAGATCTCATGTGATTTTATACAGAGTGAAGGCATAATATGGGGGGGGGTTGTTTCGAGTCTCGAATGGAAGATCGGAAATCTGTGATGTGGCTTTTCGTGGTTCTCCTCAGTCACTCCAATCTAATTCCTGGATGATTCACCAAATTAGGCCACAATTGATTCTTTCTCCATCCGTTCCAATTCGTTATTTACTAATCATCCCGGCCGCGCCGTAGCTCAAGCTCTTAGTCGCTGGCTTCCCACCGCGGCGGCCCGGGTTCGATCCCGGGTCTGGCCAAGTGGAATTTGTGGTGGACAAAGTGGCGCTGGGGCAGGTTTTCTCCGAGTACTTCGGTTTTCCCTGCCAATCTTCATTCCACCAATTGCTCCACAATCACCCTCACCTATCATCTGGGGCTGGTACAATAGGCCAGAAGTGGCCGCAGTACAAGGGACTCAGTTCCACCCCACAAGCAATAAAAAAATACCAACCATCTCACCATTCAGCACCGCGCCCTGTCTGAGCCGATAGCGTCAGTAAATAAACCACGAACAGATCGTGGAGGCTCAGCATCAACGGCAATCAAACAGCTTTAAATCTGGTTCGTAGTGGTAAAATGAAATTTCTGACATAAAGCGCAAGTTATCATAAAATCCTTCAAAAATAGCATCGTTCAACGAGTATGTTAATTTGGTCCTGTATAGAACATGGATTTTACGCAAATCTAAAATTATTTGAAACAGTAGCATAAAGCTCGTTGAAATGTCGACGGAAAGTTTTATAAACAGACTTAGAAATAATACCTAACCTCAATAAACTAAAAGAGTTCTAAAGAAATTCTGCATTTAGGCGTGTAAGTTCTTAGATAGGCTATTAATTTTGCTGGTAAAATAACTATGCATTATGCAGTGCTTCTATGTAGATAGATATTATTAGGAATCGAAAGTGGAAACTTCAGTACCGATACAAGCATATCTTCAACTGCTGCCATCTTCCTTTCCTGTTCCTAACCACTACCAACTCCGATTGCTAACACACGTAACGACATACTACAAAACGTTAAAACTATACAAACGGCTTCTATGAATGTGTCACATAAACAATACTTTTTATTCTACTTCCAGGTAATTCAAGAACGTAAATTACAGCGAGAGTTTTCAGAGAACTCTGCTAATGAAAAACTGGAGACAGGTAAGTTCATACTCGTTTCCGAGTCTATTTAAGGACGCTACGAGACAATAATGCAAAATATTAAAACCGGTTACGACATACGCATGTGAAACATGTTCGATAACTCAAAAAGGGTAAAGTAAAATACACAAGAGAGGAAACTCTACGGACCAGAAACCGAGCAGGGGGTGGGGAATCAAAACTAACCAGGAGCAGAGGAAATTATATAAAATCCATGATTTGGCAGCGAGTATTAGAAGGGGAAGCCGGTCACGGTGGCCGAGCGGTCTAAGGCACGCACTGTCTTCGCTCGCTCGGAAGTCGGTATCGTGGGTTCGAATCCCACTCAGGGCATGGATGTTTGTGTGCGTTTTTCTGTGTTTGAGTACAGGTAGAGGGCTTGCGACGAGCTGATCACCCGCCCAAGGAGTCCTACCGTATGTCTAAGATCTAGAAAAACAGAAGTGAACGGAGAAGTTTATGGAGGTAGACCTAGGCCCACTGGGGCTGTAGTGCCAAGAAAAAAAATAGAAGGGGAAGTTGGAGGGATTTGGTCGTAGGACTATAGCGGATCAAACATGGCAGGCTAAGATAATTTTTTAAAGTAAGCAAGAAAGTATAAGACAAGTGTGAAAGCCCACACTGACGCGGTCAGAAGATGTAGAGAATGATTTACGAGATCTGAAAGAGAATAAATGGAGGCAAGAAACAATTATTCTAGAAGAATGGGCATCTCTCGTAGAGGGGATCAGGGTTCTGGGCGGACCATAGAAGGGCCACAGTATCAGGGATTGAGTAAATATCTGCGAGATCAGTAGCTCAGAACATGCGTCTGCGTTTGTTTGTTGCACAGTTGCATATATTTTGACACATATTTTGCACAATGGTGGAGGACCTCCATAGGGACGGTTAGGACTTGAAAATCTCACAAAATTTTTGGGACACCTAAAAATGATTTCATTGCTGGTTGCTCTTAAAACATTGTTAATAGCGTACTGAAGTATTTTTGTTCCATAGTGCTTAGAGAATCTCTCACAGTTCTCTTGGATATTTAATTTTAAATTTTCCACAAATAGAAGCTCGTTTATAAGTGTTCGAAATAGAAGGCAATTATTTACATTGTAACTGATTAGTTAATTCCATACAAGCCTATATTACTTTATATTAATGCCATTAAGACCACATCAGGGCTTCATATTGCCTGCCACTTCAACATTATACGTGTGCACTGCGCATGGACAACGCCTGGCAGATCAGCCGGCGAGCCTATATAGTAAAATGGCTCCCAGTTTCGCCTGGTAACCCTCTCGAGTGGTGTTAATTTAGATTAATAACGAAAACTTTCAAATGAAGAAACCCAGCAGGTTGGCACAAGAGAAATGTCAATTAATTTTATTGTGGAAATTTAAATTGAAATTTTGTTTGGGTAATCAGCTATTCTTACCGGTCCAATTTTCGTGCCTAGTTCTGCGCATAATACAGGGTGTACAGATAATCAGTAAATAAAACTGACATTAATGTTTTAATAGTTGTTATTATACATACCATTACATGTTTCGATCAGAGTCTTAATTATTACATATATTTACAAATAAAGTAATTAACTTAAATTAAATGTAACCCTAAAGATTCTGCAGGTAAGTTTTCTCGTCCCCTGTAGGGCACTACAGCTGTCCAGCCGATAACGGGTTTTAGCTCATCTGGAATTACTGCTCGCCCCCTTATTTTTATATCATTTTATAATTCAGCATTCATCCTACAATTGAACGCTGATCTAGATACAGGGTCGTTAAATAAGCCACAAAAGACATACATGAAATTAATCATAACGCGTGGGAATTGATGCTCTCAGAGCGGTGATTATGAAATATCTTCTGGGATATGTTTGCTACTTGTTTCGAGTTGATTTCTTTATTGATTAACTCATCGACCCTGAAGATGGAGGCCACATGATCCTCCGAAACGTCGGTTGACTCTGAACGGACTACACAGCGTTATATCCCCCGCTGAGGAATATATATACGCTTGTATGTAACAGTTTAGGGTTATTCCAGGCAAGAAGAAGCGACTGGCTTTCCTGGACATGCTACTAGATGTCTCTGAAGGTGGAACTAAGTTAGCAGACGAGGAGATACGGGAAGAAGTCGACACCTTTATGTTCGAGGTGGGCATCGCAGTATTTTAAATAAACGGTGTAAAGTAACAATAGGGAAACTTTCTCATACCAATCGTATTATGAGAGAAACAGTTTGACTGCCATTTTGTTATTCATTGTCACTTTAATAAAATGGCCGCCTGCTGTTCATAGTTAAGTGTTCTCTCAAGATACTCCCCCTGTTTCTAACCGACACGATCACAGAGGCCTGTCACTGAACAATATCCGAAGGCAGTTCCATTTGTTCGTAACGTCGCATGCATTTTATAGCCCTACTGTATCTCTACTCCCTCTGGCGCTACATACTCTAGGTGCTGAAGTTGTCCTTATGATATACACCTATATGCTCATACATCTTTCATGTTTCCTTTGTCTTTGGGGCTTGAGAACCAACTGTTTCTTTCTCCCGTTATGCATACTAATTTTTAATATCGAAAAGTAATTTTTAATTTAAATTTAAATCTTTACATAATGAGTCACATAGAACTATCTTTGTATAATTCCTTTTAAATTTTACCTCCAATTTTAACACAGCCTGAGAAACGTCTAGATATATAACTGGCAGAAAGCATACAAGTTCGTATCTAACGCGAAATCTTTATTCTTCTGAATGACCTCAAATGCAACAAAGAATAATGATTTATATAGTTCTGGGGGCAGAATTATCTCCAATACAACAAGTAACAGTGATTTATATAATTCTGGGGGAAGAACTATCTCCAATACAACAAATGGCAGTGATTTATACAATTCTGGGGGCAGAATTATCTCCAGTACAACAAATGACAGTGATTTATACAATTGTGGGTGCAGAATTATCTCCAGTACAACAAATGAGTGATTTATACAATTCTATGGGCAGAATTATCTCCAGTACAACAAATAACAACGATTTCTACAATTCAGGATGCAGAATAAAGACAGAACTGCAAGCCCTATACTTTTATACATGCGAGTTGATATACAGCCGATTTCTATATACGGACGTACCTTCGCCCGACTGATACCATTGTTATCTCACTTCCCAGGGTCACGACACAACCGCTACTGCGATATGCTACGCTTTGTATCTCCTAGGTCTACATCCGGAAGTACAGGTAACAACAGACTGTCTTTACTTAACAGAATCTCCCATTTAGTTAAATATGAATCCCGGAAAATGCACACGTAATACTCAGTAGTTTCCGGTCTGGGTTTTTGTTTCAGCGAATATTTTTTGTTAGTAAATTAATTTATAGCTAATCGCATTAACTTCCGTATTTTTTTTTGATAAATCCTTGGTGTACGCATAAAATCAGATTGGCAGTTAAAGGCACAACTTACTTTCTTGAACGACGCCAATAATAGCAAATAAATGGCTAAAGTCGTTTCCTTTATGTTGCATTCGAAATGAACTTCTCAACGTTAGCACTTCAGTCAGCATTGTTTTCTACTTTTAATATTAACTATATTAAAAATGTTTCGAATAAAAGTTAAATATTTTAAAAGAAATTAGTGTTATTTTTCTATCATGTTTCATTTTCTTGTACGATGCGTCAGTGTTAGTTAGTTATCATATGCAGACCGTAACAATTATGTCGACTGACCCAACATAACCTGCAATAAATGGCTTTGATGACACGATTAATTATAATGTGGCGTACAGACCCGTTGCCAAGCGGGGACTGTAAACGACGACAGTTGCAGGGCACCGTCTCGGTACACACGTTGCCGTGGCAACGCACGCAGCATTAGAGTTAGTGTTGGAAACGGGGCTTTCTATTTGGTCCTTGCCAAGATGTTAACAACCAGGCCAGCTGGAGCAACGAGTTCAGTTGTGAGTAGTACTAGCCAGCAAGCAAGGGCGTGAGTACAGAAGCTGAAGAATTACTGAGAGCTGTTGCCAAGCAACGACTAGAGAATACTATAAAAGACTGAGGATTGGTGTATGCTGTATTCATTTGCAAAGTGTGTAGAACAGCGATAGCGCTGTAATTGTTTGTAGTTCCGAGTTGCGTGTAGCAGTTGTCAGTAAATCCAATCATCCAATCCACACCCCGTCTATAGTCACACATATGACAATATTTTAAATAAATATAAGTTTAAGCACATGTAGACCCATAAACTCGGGTGTGAGAGGCTTCGTTTAATTGGCCTCTTACTGAGACTTCGGTAACCTTCCAATGTGTTAGGGAGCTCGTGTTTTTATATCTCCGCAGCCTTCCCGACAGTTCAGAGCAACACTTGTGAATATGCAGGTTCGGATATGTATACATCACGTAATAATAATTCAAGGACGTTCACTCGTGTTTTCAGTTATCTCGAAAACCATAAGATTTAAGGCTAAAGTACATTTGATATGGCCTAATTGCCATTTTATCTACAATATTTGCTCAAAACTTTTCTTCATTTAGCGTATTGCGTTTCAGCAAATATCACAGGTGTGCCTGTTGTCCTTCGCGTACAATGAGATTAAATTTTCTCTGATCTCAATGAAAATTTTAACGAGCCCATAGTTGCTGCAATACAGATATTGTGTTTTGAATGGAAACAGGGCGATGGATAATGTCCAGAAACACAATACTTGTATTAAATTACCATCGTCACAGACTTTTTGATCCTATCCACAATTTCTCGTATAATGCTGGAACATCAAATTTAATCAGAACCGGTTTATCTATTCTCAGGTTTTTCTGTGCGTTCAAACAGATGGACAATATTAAAATGGATCTTAGATAGAATGGTATAGTATGGATTGGATCGATCTGACTCAGGATGAGAACCAGTGGAGGGCTCTTGTGAACACGATAATGATGCAGGGAAGTCCTTATGTTGCTACACAACTGGTGGCTTCTCAAGAAGGGCTCGGGTCCATGAGTGAGTGATGCAGTGTGACAGCCCCCTCACTGAACACAGATGCACTCTTTGTTTTGTTTTACAGGATAGGGCATACCAGGAGCAGGAGAACATCTTCCAAGGTTCAGACCGTACAGTCACCATGAAGGACCTCAACGACATGCAGTACCTGGAGAGGGTCATCAAGGAGTCCCTGAGATTGTACCCCAGTGTTCCAGAAATTTTAAGAGAAATCAACTCAGACATTAAAATAGGTCTGTCGAACAAACAGACATATTTGTCAGGAAAGAATGAGCACACAGTCTCCCCCTCCCTACCCGTTTCCCTTTGTATAGAAGCTACCGCCACACCCTCCTGAGCCCTCCTCCGCACCCACGGATTATTACTCCAATTTTTGCTTTGATCTTTTATCAGCCTCCAACGAAATATCGTATCACTTCCTTTTAATCCTTTAAAGCCCAGTGATCGCTATAAATATCACCCGCTTTAACATATTAAAACTCTGCATTCTGCCCACAGTGTATCTGTGTGTTCCGTGTGGCTCTTACAGCAAACAGCGACTGTTTCCCTAAACAGCAGCAACCGCTTGAGCTTTGTAGTGGTGACGTAGTGTTTCCTGTGAGGTACGGACTGAACACACTAAAACTCTGCATTCTGCCCACACAGTGTATCTATGTGTTCCGTACGGTTCTCGCAATAAACAGCGGCTATTTCCGTAAACAGCATTAACCGCTTGAGCTTTGTAGTGGTGACGTAGTGTTTCCTGTGAGGTACGGACTGAACACACTAAAACTCTGCATTCTGCCCACACAGTGTATCTATGTGTTCCGTACGGTTCTCGCAATAAACAGCGGCTATTTCCGTAAACAGCATTAACCGCTTGAGCTTTGTAGTGGTGACGTAGTGTTTCCTGTGAGGTACGGACTGAACACACTAAAACTCTGCATTCTGCCCACACAGTGTATCTATGTGTTCCGTACGGTTCTCGCAATAAACAGCGGCTATTTCCCTAAACAGCATTAACCGGTTGCGCTCTGTAGCGGTGACGTAATGTTTCCTGTGAGGTACGGACTGAACACACTAAAACTGTGCATTCTGCCCACAGTGTATCTGTGTGTTCCGTATGGTTCTCACAGCAAACAGCGACTGTTTCCCTAAACAGCAGCAACCGGTTGGGCTCTGTAGTGGTGACGTAATGTTTCGTGTGAGGTACGGACTGAATTTCTATATCCTGCGAGTCGCAGGAAGCGACGTAAGGGGAACCCTGTGCCTGGGACTAAAACTGGGCCAGTTTGTTCCTAGGGGATTTAAATTAGGGAACCTGGCCCTCCAGCTTGCTTCATGATGAGACGTGTCGAGGCGTGCACTGAATCTCATGGAGAACATTTTGTGCTCTTTCGGCTATAAAAGCAGATAAATGTTTCTGGCCACGTGTTGTTATGTACATTTTTCCCTGTTTTGGTAAGTGGGACCCGTGCCCAAAGGTTCTCCGCAGCTTTCAGTTACACTCAATTTTTTTTAATTCACTTGGGTGGGGAGAGTCGAACTGGATCCACGCGGCACGGCGGCCACTGATTGGCCTATTGTAGCCTGCCCCGGGTGATTATGATGATGGAGAATTTGGTGGACTGAAGATTGGCAGGGAAAATCGAAGTACTCGAGAAAACCAGCCCCAGCGCCATTTTGTCCACCGCAAATCCCACTTGACCAGACCCTGGATCGAACCCAGTTACACCCAATAAGCATGCCCTCACCAAGACTCTGAAAGGACGCGGCGGAACACGGCCAGTTCCTCCGAAGACGAGGCCCACTCTGAAAGCACCGAAACAGTAAACAAAACGGAACGAAATTAAGGTCATGTACAGCTGATCCCTGTTTCATCTGCCAGAAGGATGCAGGTTGGGAAATGACGTACGTCACAGTCTGGTCAGGGACTCGGGCAGGGCTCGATGAAGAGGCCAACCGCATGCATCCCGAGTCCCGCTGCTCGTTGGCTACCAGCCTGACTTACTCTTCGACCTTGAAGAAATTTCCTCCGAAATGACAACTTATAAGGGACTACTCAGTGGCTTTAGTCCGCAAGCGCACTATGCCGACCGAGCGACCGCCGCTTGTCGGCGAATTTAAGGCCAACTTTAGCGGATAGAGGGGGTCGCGTGGTGAGCGCAACGAATCCCCGCGGCTGTACGGGTCTACACACCTTCATATTCCAGATAATCATTTTTTCTTTACTCTTTTTTTTTCTAATTCAGGAAACAAAATTATGTTTCTTACAGCAGTAATCCTTGCTTTTCAGGAGGTCACACTCTCCCTGCTGGTACGGTGCTCCATGTTCACATGTACGTCCTTCATCGGAACCCACATCAGTTCCCCAACCCCGAGAAGTTCGACCCTGACAACTTCCTGCCAGAGAGGGTAGCAAAGAGACACCCTTATGCCTACATCCCCTTCAGCGCTGGCCCCAGGAACTGCATAGGCCAGAAGTTCGCCCTGCTGGAGGAGAAGACTGTCTTGTCCTACATGCTGCGTCACTACGAGCTGCGATCACGTGACAGCAGGGAAGACATTAAAGTATATAACGCTCTTATACTGAGAATGTGTGAGGGATTCAATATAAGCGTAACTCCAAGAAAGAAGAGCGTGGATCTATGACGTGTATCATGCTTGTCTCTTGGTTTTATATGGGCGTACCACATCACACGGTGTCACAGTTGTAGGCTGTTAATATATTAAAGGTGAAGTTTACTCTTTCGGGACGTCAAGTCGTGTAGTCTAGCACATAGATACCATAATTTCTGAGGTTTCTACCGCTTCCATCTTCAGTAAATAGTACTCTTCCATCCTGAGGATAGAAGCAATATGTTCTTCCGAAACACTGGTAGACATCTACAACACTACACAGCGTGACCGCTGTAAGAACCTCAAGTTTCACAGAGTAAGGATGTTTGATTACGGGGTGCCAAGAGGGGCAGTGACAGGGGCAGTGACAGGGGCAGTGACAGGGGCAGTGACAGGGGCAGTGACATGGGCAGTGAAGAGATTTGCATAATGAGGAGCTTCAGAAGCTGCACTCTTCGTCAAATTTAATTTCCATTAGTAAATCAAGGAGAATTAGATGGGTCAGACAAGTAGCATATTCGGCGGAGATAAGCTCTTCAAAATTTTAATCGGACACCTGACTTGAGATCAGGTATCGGAAAACTAGATGGGAGGATAACATTAAGACTGATCTTAAAAAAGAGAGGTTGTGAAAATCTCGACTGGTTTCTAATGAGCGATGGGGTCCAGTGGTGTGCTATTTTTCTTTCTGATTTTGCAAAAGGAATAGAATTTCTTGAGCAGCTGAGAGACCATAAGCTGCTTAAGAAAGACCCTGCTCTAATGTAATTTGATTAACATTGTCGTGTGTGTGTCAGATGGTAGGATAGTAGATGAACTGAAAAGGATTTGAAAGGAATCGGTTGTGGCCTAAATGAGGCACTCTGTCGGCACTTGCTGGGAAGGACTGAGAAAAATCACCGACAGCCTGAGCCAGATAGCTGGTTTCCCGGAAGCGATTCAATTCAACACCTCTCATATATAAATTAGACCGTCACCGCTACACGGGCAGCGCAGTCGACGCCGGGTGTCATGCAATGAATACAGACAAAGGACTTGCGCGGATGTTTTGTTTCCGTGATTAACGTTTTGCGTCATGACATGAAATAATGCCGGGAAGAGGAGGTATAAATCCACTCATTCTTAACTTCAGCACTAGATGAATGTGAGTGCTCAGCTTCAAGGACCGGCCGCTTTACTTCCAAAGGTAAATTGATGTGAGGCTGGGTGGACCCCAGAGCCGAACTGGACACTGTTTTCCTCCGGAAATCTAATGCCGCTTCCTCTGTTGTCCAGCCTGCAGCAAGTCGCTTTACCGACTGAGTTGTCCCGGCACAAAATTAATAAGCCGATTAAATAAATTTAGAGAATGATACCTTACACATAGATGGCTGGCTTGTAGTCGAAATGTGCACTGCATCGTAGCATTGTTGTCGCTGTTGATGGCGAAGCAGAATATTATATAGAATGCATTCTGGGGGTGTGACACCGTGTAATCTGGCAGGTGGCGAGGATCTACTGGCGTGTAGGTACCACACGCTGCTTCGATTTTCAAATTTATGGGCTTCTTAATAAGAGGGTTAAGGATCTTATTATTATTATTATTATTATTATTATTATTGTTATTACTCTTGTTTCCAGGCCACCATCAGAACTAAGGGCACCAGTTTTCCTTTTTATACTCTTACTGATGGAACAGAAATAAAAAATGATACACTGCTCTCCGTTATTGACTGAGACATGTTGAGAACTCTTTCTTTTAGCTGCTCATCTGCGCTTACCTCATCAATTTATATTGATACTGGATATCGGTAAAATAACACGATAACTGAAGACGACCAACTGCAATAAATTATGTTCATGGCGTGAAAAACTGCATTAAGGCTGGAACTCTTGCAGTAGTGAGCGATACTAGGCTCATTGTCTGCCATCTGCTGAGGGATTACTGAACTGTGTGCCACGAAGCTAGGACTCCACTGCCATCTGCTGAGGAATAATTAAACTGTATGCCACGAAGCTAGGACTCGGTGCATCAGTTAATAGCACAGAAGTGTTCCATGATACAACACAGAACGCTCAGTCGGTATAGCGGCAAGCTACAGCCTGGGCGACAGGAGTTCGATTCCTGGCAGGGGCATGTGAGTTTTCTCTACTCCACAGCGTACAGACCGTGTCTGGGGCCCACCAAGCCTCTTATACAATGTGACCAGAGGTTCTTTCCCTCGGAGTAAAATGACAGAGGCGTGAATCTGACCACTCACCTCCATCAAGTGCAGCGGTTAGGAATAGTGGAGCTATACCTCCACCCACCCCCCACGTCTTCATGACGCTGTAAGTAACTTTACCTTCTACAGTGAAACCTTTTGTTTGTGGGTGATGATCTACGAGACATCTGGGAAGGGGAAACGAAGGATGGAAAAGGGAAGTGAGGAATATTGTCTCACCCGCACGCACCGCAGCAAACAAATACGCGACATTCAGAGATGTGTCACGTGGCGCGGTCTTTCGATTTTTAACTTTTTATTTGTTAAATTTTCAGCACTATAAAGATACTTAGTTTTGTGCAGGCACAAAAAAAGAACTTCATACGTAGCGCATGACGATTGTGATATCAGTGCAACAGCAGGCATACCGGAGACCGAAACGTCGTGCACTAATGGAAGAGGGGCATGAAACAGAAGTGGTTAAACCAGAAACCGCACGAACAGGTGCACTGAAGACTGTGTTTGTGTTTGTATAAAGCACGGAGTACAACTATGAGCTGCCTTCTTAGGAGCTATCGCTTGGCCCACGGTAACCGGGTTGCTAGCCAATTACGTTTATATTTGTAAGCGCCAACGAAGGCGAGAGACATTTGAGCACAGTAAAGCTATTTCTATTCACTGCCTTCAATTTCTCGCTTGTCACGAACGAGTAGATGAATTCGTTTATCGGGTCTGGGTTATTACTCATTTCCTCTAAATTTATGCTGTGCAGTTGGTAAACGTCAATCCACTGATCACGAACCACGATTTGTATACCTCTGCTTGCGAATGCGTTTTGTTGCTGCGCCCATATCCGAACTGGTTATCCTTGCATGTGTGTATCACGCTCGTTGCTCAGTTGAGATCAAAGAATTGAGTAAAGTGGTGGGGATATCAAGGCGACCGCGACTTCAGTGTGTTCAGTGTAAAGGATTGCTTCGTTCTGTAAGGGTGTTTGGTGTACTGTTGCTGCCACACAATTTTTTTGTAAGTAAAACAATCATACAATCTTTTGACTATTTAAGCGAATTGTTGCGAAATTTTATGAATAAATCTGTTTCTTATACAACAGATCTAACGAAAAATATACGTCGTTAGTAAAGCAGAGGTTTGTGTTTACATTCTGGCAAAGAAAACATACCTTTAGTTATTATGTTTTTGGACATATCCATCATCTTGTCTATTTTTTAGAAACGGGACGGTATTTAAAAAACAGACAACACGATGGATATGTCCAAAAATATAATAGTTGTAGCAAAATAGCATCGTCACAAATTTTAGATTTTTTCTTATGCTAGTGGGGTGGGACTAAGACCCTTGTACTGTGGCCACTTCTAGCCTATTGTACCAGCCCCAGATGATAGGTGACGGTGATTGTGGAGCAATTGGTGCAATGAAGATCGGCAGGGGAAACCGAAGTACTCGGAGAAAACCTGCCCCATCGCCACTTTGTCTGCCACATATTCCACTTGACCAGACCCGGGATCGAACCCGGGCCGCCGTGGTGGGAAGCCAGCGACTAACCTCCTGGGCTATGGCGCGGCCTTGCTTTTAGAACTCGGTTATCTGTGGGCTTTTTCAGACCATCTGTCGGGCAGATTCCGGCCAAGATGGGGCAGACAGTGTCTACATGTTTCAAGTTTTCTTTTTCTAGGCAAATCCATACGTAAATGGCATCGCCTAACAACGATAATACAGAAGCGACTTTCAGATAGTAATTATTTCCTTTATAACAGGTATTCGTTGGTATACCGGGAATTTATAGTGAGTTATCTGGAACGTAATATTTCGAAAGACCAGTGCCATGCCTGCATTTCACATTTCAGTTCCATTGAACCAGTGCATATAGAGAAAGTGTAAGGGGCAAGCAATGACAACAATACAGAAAGGACAGGATAGCAGTTTCAAAACTCCTTTATGTGAATAAATAAGTTTGTTCCCCCACCTCCACCCGACAACAGTGACTTAAAATGTGTCAGCAATTTCGAAAAATAATTGGCTCTTATAATGAACCTTAATGATACCCGTGAAATTTTATTTTAAACTGTTTGTAATTAAACGTGGCCTTTCAGGATTAAAAACCATTCGAAACTTTTTTTTATCGGTTGGGGCCTCCTTTTGGGAAAAGGATACATTAGACAAAAATGACAGCATATGATTGAATACCGCGGATTAACGCATGTTTGTCTTTTGTACGCCGCAGCGAAGGGAGTCCCCAATACGCATGAGCCGCAGAGCCGGTCCTAACGGAAATCGAAACCCGACTCCTCGGTTGGCCAGACTAGGCTAAGCACTATACGGGTTATCTCGGCCCCATGGACTCGTGACTTGCACAAAGCACAATACAGTGGTTGTCTAAATTGCCACGTAAACTTTCGGTAGCCAGTGACGCAACAAGTACTTCGAGACGCGACAGGCGGGCAAACAAGCTGATACAAAAACACTTGTTTCTGTTGACAGAATTCAAGGCTGCAGAAAGTGCTTTGGAGGAAACAAGTATTTCATCACTTCCGTCTTAAAATAAATTCAGCGTCTCACAGGTGATGTGTTGTGGAATAGGCCGCACCATAGCTCAAGGGGTTAGTCGCTGGCTTCTCACCCTCACGGCCCTGGTTCGTTCCCGGGGTCTGGTCAAATGGGATTTGTGGTGGACAAAGTGGCGCTGGGGCAGGTTTTCTCCGAGTACTTGGGTTTCCCCTGCCAATCTTCAGTCCACCAAATTCTCTATTATCATAATCACCCAGGGCTGGCTACAATATGCCAATCAGTGGCCGCCGTGCCGAGTTGACCCAGTTCGACTCCACCCCACCCCCACTAACCGAATTAAATAAAAAAAATTAGGCCGCGCCATAGCTCAAGCGGTTAGTCGCTGGCTTCCCACCTCGGCGGCCCTGGTTCGATCCCAGGTC